TTGTTAGGGAACTTTTCTTCGTGTTCCTGTTAGGGATCATAGCTAGTTTTTAGTGAGGAACTTTTCTTCTACTTTCCTTTAGATCTCCTTGAGTCTTCATGAATAAGTTACTCTTCCACTTCCAAAATTAACTTCACCTATTCTAATCAAACACCTAAAGAAATCGCATTGGTTGAAGTTTGCTTTTATTCATCATCATCAAAACTCTTAAATATAAAATAACCTATATTTAAATATAAAATTTTAAGACATAGTGACTAGTTTTGCAAGAGGTAAAATATTTAAATTTCGGTCCATCTAATATTTTTGGTCAAAATTCACGACTGATTGTTATAGTTAGTAATAAAATGTGGGTTGTATGAGTATTACACCTATAATTTTTTGCCCCAACAATGAGTTCATTGGCATGGAAAGTACGGCATGCATGAAATATGAAGAGCTTAAATTATAGATGTTACTATGCTCACGCACATCGAGCTACAGATTGAGGGCATGTATGAAGAGCTTATGGATTGAACTAGGCTCGTGTGTCAAATTATAGAGACGATGAAATGACATGATAAGTAAATAAGAAGAGAGTTTGGAGCACATACAAGCTTAGCTTAGAGGTGGGTTCATTTCAAAATTAATTGGCAATGAAAGGAGTATGTCACCAAACTTATACTACGTACGTAAGTTTTACTTCGTAAAGAGGTTATTACGAGACAAATTACACCCCTTTCCACTTGTAAGTGTCATTAGGATTTCAAAGCTATATAGAAAGTAAGGTAACTATTAACAATTTGTTTACGTGTTGGATATCTTATCCAGGTAAATCATTATCCAATTACTTCACTAAAGGCTCAATAGATATAGCTCAAAAGAAGTTTCACATCAAAACCAAATTGCAATGGAGTAGTAGTTTCAATTTCAATGATGGATTTATTTATTTATTGATTTATTTATTTTTAATTTTTTTTTTTTGGATAAATCAATTTATATGGTGTTTAGTAAATCTTTAATTTGTTGGATTAAACCACAACTTGTGTATAAGGAGAGTTTAACTTCAATCCTAACAAAGTTTCATCCAAAAATCAATTGATAATATATGAAGTTTTCCATCAGAAACAAGAGGAAAGCGATCTAGCTACTAGTGAATTCGTGACAGACAGTCAGGGTTTGAACGTGACAAAGACTAAAGTAATATTTTTTGGCCTTAAATAGGCTTTACAATGCTGATATGAAAATGTTGTTATGGAGAGGTTTCCTTCATTGACGTTAAAGTTTATTAGTCATCTCCACTTTCTTTATACATCAAATGTTGTCAAAATTTTCAAGTATATTATGATTTACTAATCTCATAATTCGACCTAATACGAAGTAGCTTTGGTTAGTATCTAAATCATGTAACCATGGAGATTATTATTAGATTGATAGCATGACATATACATACGTGCAACAACATTAGGATCTTTATAATAAACAATTAAGTACGATGATACACAACAACATAACATATATAACTTTTATTCATGCGTTTGATTACGAAGTACAAAGCCATACGATAATACTCACTCGTAACATAGAAAATAAAATACATGCCCCTCTAGGAGCTTATTTATAGTAGCACGTACATAAGCAAGTAGTAAGGCACAACGAGTTTACGTATCAAGTAATACGTACTCGGCCATTATTATACTACGTATATGATTAGTGAGCATCATGGTGCACCAGCTCCAACAAAAGGAGCAGCATGAAACTTACGAGTATTTTGTACTTGTGGAACATCATCATCATTCGATGGGTATGCTTCAGCCTGTTGCTCAACGCGGCCACAATATGCTGGTCCGCGGCCACAGTAGCCATACTGGCTACAACACATCCCCCTTGGGCATCTCCCATGCTTGCATTCGCCAGCTGCTAGTGATGTTCCCACCATCAAGGCGGTCATGATCACCATAATTATCACTAAGCTCTTCATGCTCTTCATCATTTTCACTCTTCTTTATATTGTTTTGATTTTGTAATAAGGTTTTTTTTTTTATTTTATTTTATTTTTTATTTTTTATTTTTTTGTGTGTGTGTCTATCGTGGTTATGAATTAGGGCTATTTATAGGGATTTGAGATGGGTAATTTTGGAATTTTTATGTATCTTGTAGGGTGACTAACATTTTAAAAATATTTTTAAAAGGTGAGTCATTAACGCAATACTCGATTTTTTTCCAAAGTTCAGTAAAAATATAATTTTAATTCGCAAAAATAAGGTGAAGAGAACAAGGCTTAAAAAAGATGAAGAGTTTCGAACACTCAACCTCTTAAAAAAAAAATTATTGTTTAACCATTTAGGCTAAGTATCAATTATGATCTAATATATATCGCACACAAATGAATACTATACTACAAATTAAAGTATTGAGAACACATGCAAACTATTAAATGTGTTTAGAAATTTACAGTTGCTCAAATACAAAAGTAGTAACCCGAGGCAACGCTGCTACTCACTAGTTTACTGATTAAAGCTTATTGTTTTTGTTAGCTTTTTTTAATTTCTACTTAATCCAATTTTTAATTTATCATAAAGTATTATATACCAAATGTATAATGTAATATTATTATATGGTTATTTTGTATTTTTTACCACCCACAATTAACCTTCCTTTTGAGAGAGAAAAAAAAAAAAATTTACAATACTACCCAAAATTTTATTTTACAATACTACCCAAAAAAATAGATTTTACCACCATTTAACACTTTCCGTTAAAAAACAAAAAAAATTCTTCGATTTTCGTGCCAAAAACATGTTCTTTAGATGTTTTGGGGGTCGTTGTTGTCCTTTGATTCCAATTTGAAGTCAAAATTCACAAAAAATGATTGAAAATGCCTCGTTTTGTGTACTAAATAATAACTTGATTTGCGTGACACATGCAAAATGGGGCATTTTTTTATAATTATTTGTCTATTTTGACCTCAAATCGAAACTTTGGGACAAAAATGACCTCCAAAACCTATAAAGAGCATGTTTTAGGCACGAAAATCAAAGAATTTTAAAAAAAAATTATTTAAAGGTTTTGGTGGTGAAATCTATTTTTTTTTTGTTGTTTTGGGTGGTATTTAAAAATAAATTTTTTTTGGGTGGTAATTTTAAAATGTAGGTTATCTGTGGATGGTAAAATACAAAAGTTCCTTATTATATTATTATAGATTTTTCCTTAAAAAAATCAATAAATTATTATAGATGTATATTTCAAAATTATAATTTTTTTAATAATGATTATCATGGAGCAATAACATTTACAGAGATTCATAGTCAAAATGATAAATGATATAAGTAAAAATCAAGTAAACGGTACAATAAAATAAATAGTAGAAGTGATAATTGCAAGTATATGACTATTTTGAGGGTTGGACATTGACTTGACTAAAAAACTTGAAAGGATAAAAATGTGTAGACTAGTCTTCATTCTACAATATGTAGATGAGTAAGATGATGATGATACATAGTTCCACCAGCACACGCACTTTGAATTTTATGTACTCATCTAATGAAGTTTCCAAAGAGCCCATGGATAATTTATTTTATTTTATATTAGACCATTTTTTTTTATTAATGCAATAGTTCGCTTTATGTACTATTTATATTCCAACTTTAACTTGATTTTTACTACGCATTAATATATTGTACCATTTGTTATTTTACGCTTGTCGATGTAATACTTTGGTCATTAATATCTTTAATTACACTTAAGTAAAAACTATAAAAATTTGATTTTTGAAAAGTTGACATCGAGACGTATCTAACGAGATTGCACATGACTATATTTTTCCTTATGGATAAATCACAAAAGATAGTCAAAGGAGGTTATGTGAATAGTGTAAAACCTCAATATTCTCAAATGGTGCAATTAAAAAAAAAACGAAGGAAGTATGTTATTGATTTAGTCTTGATTTATATTCCAACACAGAATTATAGACACAAACGGTCAAAATTATGTCTTAGCAAATGTGTCGGTCAAATTGTATGCTATGTAGTTTCTTCCTCGCGGTGATTCAATAAGAACGAGTATGCGTCCAACGCCAAGTCCTACAAAATAAAGAAAACACTACAAGAACATTAAACATTATGTACTCCCTCCATCACTAATTGTTTGTCCCATTGCAAATAGTTGGGTCGAACTTTTAAACTTTGACTCTAAATTCCCATTTCTCATTCATATTTCTAATAAGGACACAAGTGATTTTTGGAAGAAGAATAAAAGCAATAAAATCTAAAGAAAGGCAAGATTGAAATGAAAAGAAAATTATGGTAAATTGCTTTGTGTGGACAACCTTGACACTTTTTATCCCAAAATGTCTACAAGAACAGCCAAAAACGTCAAAGGTTATCAAGGAGAAAAACAAAGTGAAGCAAATCTTAATTGGTACGTGGTACAACAATCTTCTTATGATTCTTATCACTAATGTAGTTGTTATGTGCTTCCTTTTGAGAAAGTTGATGAAGGTGAATCAGTCTACATTGGGAACTCTAGCAGCTCGAAAGCTCTATGCAGGGAGTGTTCTTGAATTTCCAGAAGAAAGAACAATGCTCATCACACGAATGCATAGATTGCATACAATGTTGCTGTATGAATTTCTACCGAATCCTCTAGCTTACATATTTCTGCAATACTTGACATCGATTGTTAAGCTGCCAACCTTACATACTAGCTAATTAGCTGTCAACTCTAGCCTATAGATTTAGAGCTCGAATTAATTGCAGGATAAAAAATACTTCGTATTAGAATGTTGACAGCTTGTTCAGTTGTTCTTTACTATAAGATGACCTGTTGAACGATCTTATGATCTCACCTTGTCCTTGTGGTTAGTCTAAAATCCACAAGCGTTGACTGAGATGCTAGACTCCTGGAGACTTTTCAACATCAGATTTGGTAATTTCGTCTCCATAAATTCATCTGGGGACTGTTCCTCATACATAGGAAACATACAAGTATAGCAACAAAAGTACTTTAACGTGACAAACAGATACTCCGTAACATGATCTTAACAATAAGTGCTGAATTTCATCTTCAATTACTTCAATGTTCAATGTAATCATCAATACAAAATTTCAAATCTAGTACAAAATTGCTTAGAAATGCTTCCATTCCAGAAGAAAGAATACTCATCTCATGCATGCACATAAGGTTGCTTTGTGAATTCCTGCTGTATCCTCTAGATTATATATTGCTGCAATACTTTACATCAACTGTTAAACCGCCAACCTTACATACTTGCCGTCAACTATAAATTTTGAGCTCGACTTAACCTGCAGGATAAAAACCACTTGTATTAGATTGTTGACAGCTTCTTGTTTACCATAAGCAGACTTGTTAAACATCTTACGATCTCACCTTATCTTCAAGGGTAGCTCTAAATTCACTATCGTCCACTAAAATGCCAGACTCCGGGAGACTTTTCAACACCAGTTTTGGAAGTTTCTTCATCTTCAGAGCTCCATCTGGAGCCTGTTCCCAGTACAGGAAATTATAGTTCAAATATCGTGACACCAGTACAGCCACAAAGGTACCTTTTAAAGCGACAAAAAATATAACATGATCTCTACTACCCAAAGATCACAGCACTTAACATTATCCAATGATATTTAGGATGGGATCTAAAAGTGAACCGATTGATCAATGATGAAAACCCTTTATTTGGACATAGTGATGCATGATTTATCATTTATGAATAAATAGAAGAGTCAAGGTAGAGGCTGGACTCAAACAATCCTGTATCTTTACTTACCTTGAAGCATCCTAAAATTCAGACTCAGTAGTTTTACAGCGATACCGAAAACTTAATCATCTAATATTTCGTATGAAATACCCTATCCAAGTTTTACCGACTTCTACATTCTTGTTGCAGCACCCTGGAATTCAATATTACTATACTTCTCCTAATTGAGATGACTAGCCATGACACAACTTTGTCTAAATAATTTAAAAGTCAATTCATACATGGATCGCCAAATGCCAAAATGGAACAAAGTTTCACAATACTAGTATGGCTCATAATTGAATTTATCACCTTGAGGTAGGTAGCTGACGAGTGAAAATTATATCCTATATGGTTATACCAAGGAGCCAGGACCACAATTGATGCATAAGCCAGTAACATACTAACATTCTAACAATAAGACCTTGAATCAAAAGGACAGAGGAAAAGGGAGGAAGGAGAGGGAAGGGAAGGTGGTCTGGTGCAATAGGTGTTTCTTTGCAAATATTTCTAAAATTTGACTTCTTTCGGTCTTCCTTTCCTTCCCATCGTTTCCTATCTTTTCCCTCAATGATTGCATATCCTAAGTTCTTTATCCTCAATGACTGTGCATCCAGAGTTCCAGACTATGAATAAAAGTTTTAAATCACTGTTACAGAAAACTAAATAGCTTTTTTTTGTTTTCAGCAATGAACCATACAACAGCAACAACGACAAAACCCTAGTCCCAAAATCAAGCAATGAGCCATATACACAATATGAAATTTTTTTTACAGAAATATTCAAAAAGAAAGCCGAACAGATACTCACAGATTTAAGCACGGAAGATATCAGCTTCTTCCACTTAATTTTTTGTTCAGCACCTTTTTTTCCAGTACCAGTGATGCCTCCCTCACCTTCCTTTGCTTCATTTTTGGCTTTCTTCTTTTCTGTACCTTTAACCTCTGATTCTTTCCTGCCTTTCTTTGACTTCTTAGGTGCTTCCTCTGCTTCTTCTTGAGTAACAAAACCATTAACTACTCCATTTACACATTTTTCCATGTCAATAGATGTGTCTTTTTTTCTCTTTTTCACAGAAACATTCCCATTTTCAGCTGAAGAATAATCATTTCTTAAAGCCCCATTTGAAGGACCATTCTCTTTGCCATCCTCAATACTTTTGTCATTTGGAACTTCAATTTTGGGAGTGTTTTCTGTAGAGTCTTTATTGGTTACAGCCCCTTCCTCAGGTGGATTAGGCTGCTGTTTTGCAGTAAATGCTCGGGCTTTAGCTCTGTGCTTCTTTCCATCAGCATGCAAAAGCAAAGCCTGCTGGCTAGTAGCTTTGGTGTTGCAAAGACTACATATCAAATGTAAGCGTTCATAAATAATGGTACCAAAGAAACTGATTCGGCAAGTATTGAAAAAGAGAAAAAAGGTTCCTTATATAAAATCAAATCACAGTTTCAGACAACAGCTTCAGTTTCATTATCACTGTAAGAGTGTAAGCCAATCTTCAAGGAATTTTGACGATCCAACAACAAAGCAAGAAGGAAATTTGAGGGTACTCTCCATAATAATAATAATTTTTAAAAGGTGTTAGCTCAACTTAAAAACTGACCATCTTCATCACTATGTACACACAGTTAAGCTTAGCTGAACTTTGGCCTCATATTATGGACAAGAGATACGAAACAATTGGGGCAAGACCTTGCAGCATTTGTCTTAACTCTAAAATACAAGGACAATAAGATCAACATCGTGTGGCAGAACCATCAAGGTAAAGTCGAGACCATAGCTCAGCTAATAAGTGCCTTTAAATAACTAAATAATATATATTGAGGTTCATCCACATGCATAGAGAAGGCCTCTACAAACAAATTTTTTTAAAAAAAAAGTGCACCTGCAAAACCATGGATATCGATTAGATAATCCAATATTTATATCAACATCTGGCTTTGGCTTATCATTGTTTGGTTTTGCAGGTGTGCCACTAGCAGCTTTTGCTTGACCCTTTGGACCATACTTTTCCTGAAAAACACAACATATTGAAATGAATTTCCACCCTGGACTATAACATAGAGCTTGTACAAGCACGGCATTGAAAGCTATAACTAAGGATAAAACATCTCCAAAATGATGGCTTCAAATTCAATTAAAAAACTCATTAACCAAACAGATTAATTTTAACACTTGGAAAGGCGAAAAATTGATCAAAAAGCTGACAAGTAAAAAACCAAACAAGGTCAAAATAAGGGCAATGTAATCTCCATAATTCCATTAAAAGGGAAGAGAGAAACTTTCAACCATGAACCACATTCCATTAGCAATGTACCACTGTGAATTTGACAGATAAGTATCCATAATTCATACAAAAAAGAAAGCCTTCAAGGAGCACGCCTTACATCAATTGTTCAAATCAAGTAAAGTTTTAATCGAACGCCTCCAAAGAAATAAAAATATGACCTTACAACTCACCCCCCTTTCCTCCACTGCCAAATCCCCAAAGAAAAATGTACGGAGTATATATAAAACTCAAATAATCCATGGAGTAATATTCATGTGACTGAGCATAACTCTTGGTATGTAAGACTCCTAAACTCAGTCTAAAGTCACTTCTTCTCACTACCAATTCCTCTATTCAGAATGAAATACGGAAGTATGAGAGTAATTCAAGCCATACAAAAGCAATTCGTTTTTCGTTTTCCATTACGCTTTCACCATCATTCCCTTTCAGACAAATCACTCAAAAACACACTTACATTGCATCTCCTTCACTCCCTGTCGACAAATCACACATACTAACTAATGTAAAAATAACCAATACCATCATATTGCATTTTTAATGCAATTGCAAGCATAAAATCCAACCCAAATTTATAATTCCAGCAAATTAATTCACCCCAATACTAATCTACCATTTTTAACCATCTTCATTGAGAATCAAATAAATATTAAAACCCACAAAAACAACCAAAATAATATAAATAAAAATTGCGAAATATCAGTAAAGAAATCATACAGCTTCAGTTATGCATTGAGTGTGAGATTGAACACGCTGTTGATCGAACACTTCCCCACAATCTATGCAAGATAACTGTTCCGAAAATTCAAAAAACAAAAACCCATTACTTCAAATAAAAAATTACAGTTAAATTTCCAGAGAAAATTACAAAAACATTCAAAAAAAAAAAGAAAGAGAGAAAATTATAAACCTTATATGCAGAGCACATGCGAAAGTGATTAGGGAGTTTAGGCTTCTTGAGATTTTCCCCACAATCTTCACATTGAAACCAAACCATTTTGATTTTTCTTGACAAGAAATTGGGGGAAAATGGGGAATTGGTTAAGTTCTAATTTCTAGGGTTTTTGGTTTCGGAAGAAGGGTTTTTGGTGCAGTTTTCAGCCATTTTTATTCCAAAAAGTTGATGAATTGGAATGAATATATATTTATTTTATTGTTTAACTTAGAACAGCAATGAGGGCGTTTGGTCTAGTGGTATGATTCTCGCTTTGGGTGCGAGAGGTCCCGAGTTCGATTCTCGGAACGCCCCTTTTTTGATTGGAAAAAAAAAAAAAAAAATTAGCTTTTTTCTCTTTTTAACTTTGTTGTTATTAATTTTTTCACAAATTCTTATAATTAGCTGGTCACACTGTGTGGCCTAGGGGCGATTATGAGGCAACACAAACTCACGAGCTACTCGTGCTCGACTCGGTTAAAACTCGACTCGTATTAGCTCGGTGTGCTTGATCTCGAACTCGGCGCGGGATTTTAATGAGTCAAGTCGAGCAACCTACTACTCAACTGAAAAGCTCGCAAGTAGCTCGGTTTAAATTCTAAGAACATATAAATTTTATGAAATTTGAAATTATGTATAATAAATAATATATAATGTACAAGAACATTAAACTATAAACACACTATTACTTTACTTAAATAAAAAATTACAATTCTTTAAGAAAATAAAGCAAATTTAGGCCTTATTTAGTTCACCTTATTTTTACTTATTTCAGAAAAAATAAGTCCAGATCAGATCAGATCAGAAAAAATAAGTTCAGATCAGATCAGATCAGAAAAAATAAGTTCAGATCAGATCAGATCAGAAAAAATAAGTTCAGATCAGATCAGTTCAGAAAAAATAAGTTCAGATCAGATCAGAAAAAATAAGTTCAGATCAGATCAGATCAGAAAAAATAAGTTCAGATCAAATACAAATTATTATTATTATTATTATTATTATTATTATTATTATTATTATAAAAAATTATTATTATTATTATTATTATTATTATTATTATTATTATTAGTACTATTATTATTATAAAAATTATTATTATTATTATTATTATGGTTATTATTATTATTATTATTATTATTATTATTATTATTATTATTATTATTAATAATAAATAGCACAAACGACAAACGATAATAATTAAAATTTCATTATAAGCTCCAAATCATAAACGTTTACAAATATCATTCCAAATTTCCTTCGCTATATTAAGTTGTACTTCGTTCATTACAGCTTTACGGTTCTCGTTAAACAAATCATAATCTGCTCTTGGTTCGATTTCTATACCACTATCAATGGGTATATCCAACTCATGTAATCGAATAAAATTATGAAGTGTGAATGTAGCAACCATAATTGCCAATTGATATTTAGTGTCCATATTTGGCATCATTGTCAATATTTTCCATCGAGATTTTAATTGTCCAAAACATCTCTCGATCGTTGTTCAAAGTGAAGAGTGAAGATGATTAAAAAGTTCAAGTATGCAAATTTTCACGGGAAGTAATAAGCAAAAATAAGTAGTAAAGTACATTGGAAAGATAAATTTACATTGGATATGAAAAAAAGTAGACGGAGGGAAATAACAAATGGGATGAACATTTTAGGACTAAAATTTAGCCAAAAAGGACTATCAATAAGGGACGGAGGGAAAACATAATACTTTGCTTTTTTCTAGAAACACCCTCTTCAGATCAATACAATAATACTTGATCAAGTGGTTTTAACAAAAATATTTGAATATCTTCTTACAAAATATTACTTTTTTTCCTAAAAAAAAAAAAGGAAAAGGCAATAAACGAGCCTAACGTTTCCTATACAAAAAAAAAATGAATATCTTCGTACAACATATTATGTATATTTTCATTTTTTTTAATTTCATATTTTTGACAACAAGCCTAACGTTTCCCATAAATATTTTTTTTAAAATTTCATATTTTCTTTCCTCCTATTCTGTCAAATACTTTTGCTTTATACAATTTTTTATTCTTCCACTTACCCCATCCATATATTATTACGTTTACCAATTTCTCCTAAAACTCCCTACATGTAAAAATAGAGAAGGTATTTAAAATCGAAGGGAGTATACGTACAAGGTTTTCAATAATAATAGCAACGCATTACTACAATTAAAATTAGTACAAAGTGCAATAGAAAATGTTGTTGTTCAAACAAACGATAAAATCAAATCCGATACATCATAAATCCATATTATTATTTAAGAATTAAGGTATTTAAAAACAAGTCAAATCTCCTTTTTTCTATGTAGAAAAAAGCTATGATAAATTTAATCTGTAATTTAGTTTTTTTAGGATCCCCATTTTAATACTTTCTTATAAAAAAAATTTCATTTATGAAATGGGATACTGTAAATAATAAAATTATCAAATATTTCAATTCTATTACCTTATACTATCTAGTAATTTTAATACTTATAGGTTTCTTTAAAATTTCTGTAATAATAATAATAATAATAATAATAATAATAATAATAATAATAATAATAATAATAATAATAATAATAATAATAATAATAATAATAATAATAATATTGATTAACATTAAAAGTAGAATATTGAAATAATTAAAATAAGTTCAAATCAGAAAAAATAAGTTCAAATTAGATCAGATCAGAAAAAATAAGTTCAGATCAGAAAATATAAGCTCAGATCAGATTAGATCAGAAAAAATAAGTTCAGATCAGATCAAATCAGAAAATATAAGTTCAGATCAGATCAGATCAGAAAATATAAGTTCAGATCAGATCAGATCAGCTTAAATCAGGTGAACTAAACAAGGCCTTAGATTGTATAACTAATAAAATGTTAAGGACGTTGGTTATGAAATGTTATGTATATTAGAATATTGATGGTATGTATATGTGTATATAATTGTAAAAAACTATAAAATAATAATATGATGCATGTTACACAATGTATACCACATCGAAAAAATATATTGAGGTAGTGTAGAATGAGAGATATATAGGAAAGCACTAACGGTATTAGATGTTCTACAAACCTACATTCAAACATTGAAGTTTTGGAAATTAAAAGATCGAAGAGGGGTAAAAAAATGTTATAAAAGTAACACAAAAATATTCTACTAGCTAGATAATTAGTGTACGCCTTATATTGGACATGCTATTGAGTTCAAAATCAAGTCGAGCTCGAACTCGAGCTTCACTTCATTTGAGCTCGAGTTCGAGCTTCAGTGTTGAACTAACAAATCGAGTTCGAGCTTGAAAATGTAAGCTCGCAAGTTTTCGAGCCCGAGTTCAAGTTGAACCTAACGAGTTTGAATCGAGTTTAGTGATGTTCGAACTCGACTTGCATCATAATCAGGCCTAGTATGGTCAACTATTATAAGGATTACTTTGTTAGTGTTATAGGGTTACTCAATTAGTGTTATAGAGGTAATGTAATACCTTGGAAATTTCCTTATTTTAAAATACTCTTTTTACTCTAAATAAAACTCATTATAGGAAATAACCAAAATATTACCGCCACTGTGATAACGGCTAAGACTAGTTTCAAAGTCTCACAGCGGAAGTCTAACTTAAAAACCAACTTTTAAAAATAAATGACTTGAGTTTACAACCTCAAAACGTAAGTAAATTAAAACATCCACAAATTGGAACCAATATAAACATGACCCTTTCAAAACCATTTTAAGATAAAGCATAGTAATGTTAGTCTATGAATAATAAATCAACAATTCAAAATATAAAACTAAGAAAGCATGACAGATAACTCTCTGCACTCATTCCCTTCATGCTTCAAGTACCTGTCACTTTCTCTTTATTTCAACCCCTCTACTCACCATATAAGTGGGTCATAGTAGGTTCAATCCAAAGGAAAGCCAAACACAAACACAAAAGTACGAATCAGCAAAAACTGAGTACATATGCACTTATAGAACTAACACACTAACATGATCATCCTAACAATAATAATTAAAACATGCTCGCCATACAATTCATAAGTTAACTTACCTTTGACTCATAACTAGCAATATTAATTGTTAATAAATAACTTTGGATTACGCATCGAACGGGTTTCCTTCCTTAATTATCCCTTAATAATAAGGGACCCCTCACTTGGGAGCTAACCAAACGAGTACCAACTAGTGTCACCTTGTGACGGAATTCCAGCGCATAATAATAATAATAATAATAATAATAATAATAATAATAATAATAATAATAATAATAATAATAATAATAATAATAATAATAATAATAATAATAATAATAATAATAATAATAATAATAAAAGAAAGTACAGCGTCATACACCCCTATAGCAGCTATGGTTAAATATAAAACCCCATAACGCCCCCCATATGTTCATACTCTAGGTGTATACGTTCCAAGAGTTTTGGTGAGTATTCTCTTACATTTTACGTAATTTACCAATTTAACTTGTGATGACTCCAACCAATCAATCAAGAATAAACATAACAATAAACAATGCATATTTCCTTTTCACTCTTGAATTAATTAGTGAGCACATACTATTTATTTTAATTAAGGTTCCTTGTCTAGTTTTGTGCACAAGATTGCACGATTACTACCTTGATGTATAAGATGCACTACTAAACTTTCTTGACTCAATCTCAACTTATACGAGTGAGTAAATAAATAAACTAACTTCTTAACTCAACTCCAATAATATATGAGTGAGAAATAAAATCATGAATCATGCTCAATAATTATAATCTTAGCTCTTTTAAACATACATAAGTCTTGCTTATTACATTCATGCTTCCTTGATACTTGAAAATAAAACATACTTCCATGATTCATACATATTCAACTTGTATCATGCCTCAAATAACATATTCACATGCTTGCATAATAATTCACGATCAACCAACATCAATTCCAAGCATTTAACCAACCAAACATGCCACTAATTCATCACTTTATACACACTTTACATTCCTAGCATATTACGCATACACAAATATTCTTACGTGCATACGTACCTTGAATAATACCTAAACTCGGCCACACTCGCTAGAAATCACCTAGCTCGAAACTTCCTACAAATAAAAATACATAACCATAACCAATCCACTATTCTCACAAATTTCAAGCAACTATTATATACTTTAAGCCTCACTAATTAACCCAATTTAATTGTTTAAAAGCCTTAAAACCTTT